TAAATTGTCTCAGTATATGAACCCCAAGAGGTAAGCTGATCATTCACAAATTATTCGTTGTACCCGAGTGCAGTCATTGTAAGTGCAGAGACTGCTGAAAGCATCAGGTTGAGACTGGTTTCAAGTTTACCATAAAGGAGTAACTCCAATCCCACGAAATACACTGTTTGGGTACAGAAACCAGCGAAGAACAACAAAGTTTAAGCAATAATCTTTTATTACAGTAAAAACAAATGAACAAAGCAATAAACAAACAAAGAAACAAACACTGCCATATTCTATTAGCACAGGGGTCCCTAAGGGTCACCGCTCTACGAAACTCAAAAGAACAGGCACTGCCATGCAGGCCCCGTAAAGCCCCCTTTGCGCACAGGAACAGTCCGTGGCCAGAGCCACGCTCCATGTTATGTTGCCTCTAGGAACCAGAGGGAGAAACAACAGCCCTGACCACACACGCATCCCATGACAGTATCACAAAGTAACATGGTTGTTCAACTGCTTCCAGACCTTAGTTGGATCTGCCTCGCTAGTAACTTTTATGACGTGTAACATATTATAAACCTGAAATTGCTTGCATTTCACCCTCAGCCCTGGCTTTTGGTGTGGGAGCTGGGGGGAAGGACTATGAGCCCCTTACAGACAAAAAGACCAGAGAGAAGTGGAAGGAGTTGCTCCAGGACTTCCCACCAATTCTGGCCCTGGCGCTGCCTCCGCCCCCATCTGAAGACAAACCACAACCGCACAGCCCCCTGTAGGACAGGCTGCAGGGCCGAGGGATAAGAAAGACTGGGAGAGAACGCTGAAGTCAGCTGCTTGTAAGTCTCAGAGTCAGCATCTTCAAGCCAGAGTGATTACTGGGAAATAGACTTCTCTCCCACCAAAACCCCAAGTGTAACAGCAGCCAAGAGCTCAAAACCAACACACACAATTCCAGAGTGGGAGCCCCAAGCCAGCCATGAAACTAGGGACTAGAACCCCTCCCCCACTGGCTCACAGCTGCCTCCTGGAAAACCTGTTGTGTTTGAGAGACAACTAACGAACGGAGGAGCTGGGAGCAACAGCCATGTTCAAGGAGCTGCTGCCCAGACGCGTTATCAAGTTCTGCATGGAACAGGGCTCAGCTTTAAGTCCTTCCTCAAGAATCAAAACAACGACCTCATTCCAGAAACTGCTTTCTCCAGGAAAATGTGGATCGCTTCACATTTCAACTTACCGTTGGTTTTAAGGTGAAGGAGTGAAGGAGGCTAACTGGGGGTGTGCTGGAAAGGGAGTAAAATGTTCTCATCAATGATGGGGTAAAGTAACTGCTTTTTAGGATCATTATGTGAAAAAAGAAAGATACAAAGCTGTACACAGCCACAGACACACACTAACTTAGAAGAAAGTTTATAAGGGAAAATATTAACTCAAAGTATGAGTGATAGAATTAGAAATAATTTCTTTCTTTCTACTCTTCAGAATATTCTAGACCCCAGAAGAATCCTCTGGCTATCTAGTCATTCTCTTGACTGAGCACACCTGTGAGCGAGTGCGGGCGAAAGGAGCGCCTCATCTGGTTCACCAGATGGTCCAAATTAGTCCTGGTCACCAAGGAAGAGACAGGTGGCACTGAATGACCACACATCCATCGATTTCCCTGTGTTTTCCGTTCTCTTTAAGAATGTGAATGTTTTCCCAGTAGGGGAAAAAGACACTGCATCTCAGCAGTAACGGGAGGTTAGTGATGAAATGTTGTTCGTGGGGAGCCTCAAAAGCGTCTCAAACTCCGTTTCTCCACCTGGAAATCTGCGAGTCTTGCGATATCATGAGGTTGGATGTAATGAAGGGGGAGAGACAGAGCACCAGGGTCTGGCTTAGAATGACTAGCTAGCTGGAGGATTCTTCTGGGGTCTAGAATATTCTGAAGAGTAGAAAGAATTCGAGGTCTGGCCAAATTCTGAAATGCAAGATTAAACTCAGAAGAACTGTGGGTTTTGGTGACTGAACAAAAAAGCTGCATTTTCACTCAGCTACAATATGTTCCTATTTCCAAAGTGACAAGTTTTCCCTACTAAGGCCACCCACACTTCATCTGCCCCCTGCCCTGGACCTCCCGGCTCTATGCTCTATGCAGAGAACCATCACTTCTCGGAGTGTGGGAGGGGGGTCTGTCACGCACTGGGCCGTTTCCTGCCAAGCACCATGCCAGGTCCTGTGTCTGTGTCTTCAATGTTCTAAATAATTCAGAAACTTGGGGTGTTGCCTGTTTTTAGAGAGAGGAAAACTGAAAATCCAGGACAACCCAGACAGCAGGCTGCTGAACTGTGGGGACAGAACGTGCACGTGCCATCTGGCGCGGTAGCCCTACTCCCAGGCAACACGGACTCGGCAGCCTCTTACAGCAGATGAACACCCAGCAGAGGATTATTTCTGGCTCCCAAGGGGAAAGGAGGGGCAGTTCTGTGACAATATTTGATAATATGTTTAAAAACAAAACAAACACTGCCGAAAGCCAATTGCAGACATTGCCAGGCTTTTTGAACTTTTTATGATAGTTGCTCAAAGGAACGCAACCTCCATCCCACCATGCTGAGACCCCCTAGACGAGGCCCAGAGTTTGGCAAGGGGGAAGGGCACCCCTCCTGCACATGAGCAGCAGCTGCAGCTCCCAGAGCTGGGTGGCATGGACTCGCAAGGGAGCTGGTGGTCAGCAAGCCCTCCTTTTGTGCCAGACAACATACTAGGTGCTTTATATACATTCTCTTATTCCTCAGAACTCTATGCCCAAAGTGACCCAGCAGCATGTGGTGTGACTGCACAGAGGCAGGTCTGCCTGATCCTAATCTCTTTTTCTGCTAACCCAGAGAGAACCAGCCAGCTAATCCCAATCTATCATCCCTTTCACAGGGAAAGAATAGATCCTTGCTGCATGTTTAGCACATCAAATCCTAACTCTTCTATGACATTCAAAGGTCCTGCACTTTCCAGAGCAATTCCAGTTTTGAACACTGCAGCCGTGGGTGCACGCATGCCTGTCTCATGGTGTGGTCGGCCCCAAGAGGCCTCACTTTCTAAGCAACACCTGCGCAACACTCAGCATGTGCTTCTTCCGTGGAGAGAAGTTACCCCACTCACAATGACTCATTTATACGTTGTTGATTTGCTTCACATATTTGTGCTTTAATCTCTCCTGCTGCACTCTTAACTTCCTTTCAAATCAATGGTTCCCAACTGGAAGACCATTCTCAAGGAAGGAATCCTGGGAACAACAGAATGCACACAGAATACACAAGAGAATATATTGCAGTAGAGGAAACCACAATCCTAACTAAAATTGTTTTTGCTTACTCTATTTGCAGGGGGTCTGGTGTTGGATGGAATGACTCTTTGGAGACACAGTTTTCCGCTATCTTATCAGAACACAACTCCCACAATGGGAACTGCTGAGTTGTAATTTAACTGGAATCCATGTCAAGTTCCATGCTTAGCTTTAAAAATTTAAGCACTCATGTATGACACAATAAAAACTTGGTGCGCTGGCTGGTGTGGCTCAGTGGGTTGAGCACTGGCCGGCAAGCCCAAAGGTCACTGGTACAATTCCCAGTCAGGGCACATGCCTGGGCTGCAGGCCAGGGCCCCAGTTAGGGGGCGTGCAAGGGCAACTGATCGAAGATTCTCTTGCACATCAATGTTTCTCTTCTTCTCCTCCTCCCTCTTTTCCCCTCTCTAAAAAATAAAATAAAATCTTTTTTTAAAAATTTAAGAAAATTAAAAATAAAACAAATAAATAAAACTTGGCTGGGCTATATTTCAAAAACTTTAAAAACTTATTATTTTGGTCGTAAAGTTAACAACAAGCTCAATAGTATAATGTGACTGTTTAATAGAAAAGTAAGCATATTGTTAGGATCTGTTAATGGAAGAGGAATGTGCAGATCACAGGAAGCAAATGTTATCCAGAAGGACCAACAGTGTGCTTGCTTGTGAGAGGCACAGTACACAAAATGACAGAGCCCTCAAAGAAGGGACTTCCTTCTGGATAAGCCTGGGCAAGAACAGAGAGACAAAAGACATTTTCAGATGTTTGACAGGCTGTCATGTGGAAGAGAGGGGCTAGAATGCAAACCATTGGGTGAAGGTAGTTGAGAAACAACTGTTTGTTCAATATAAGAGGAAACTTCCAAACCTTGTCTGTGGGAGGCAGAATAGGGCCCCCTGAAGATGCCGATGGCCTCATCCCCAGAGCTGTGCCTGTGTTGCTTTACATGGTAAAAGCAACTTTGCGGATATGACTAAGTCAAGGATCTTGAGGCAGAGACTCCTGGCTTATCCTTGTTGGTCTAACAAAACGGCAAGGCTCCTTATAATAGAGAGGCAGAAGTATCAGGAAAAGATGTAACAACAAAGCAGAGACTCTTTCTCAGAGTCAGAACAAGATCTGAGGACGCTACACTGAGTGCTTTGAAAATGGAGGCACTCAGCCAAGTAATGCTGATGACTTCTAGGAGCCAGAAGGGGCCAGAACTGGGTTCTCCCCTAGGGCCTTTAGAAGGAATGCAGCCCTGACAACACCTGGATTTTAGCCCAATAGCATCCATTTGACACTTTTAGAACTGTAACAGAATAAATCTGCACTGTCTTAATCCGCTAGGTTTGCGGTACTTGTTAGAGCAGCGATAGGAGATGAATGTGACATCTAACAAGGGAATAACCACTACCACCTCTGGTGAGCTCCCTGTCCCAGGAGGCAATCAAGAAGAGGTGGAACATCTACCTGTCAGGACTGCTGTGGTCCTGGGTGACCCATGACTGACCCCTCCCACTGAGAGTCCACGTCATATGGCGGCTCCTTCTCCTGCTTCTGTATTTGACACATGGGCCACCGCTTGCAGACCTGGCTTGCCCTCCTCTCCTCCCAGGAGGATGGCAGTGGTAAGTAAAAGGCATGATTTGGGGGATGCCCTCACAGCGCCTGGGCCCGGGCCTGGCTCAGAGTCTAAGCGTTTGCGCAGGGTGCCTACCTGAGCAGAGAACTCCTTTGTTCCTAGCGCAGGAGAAGTTGTCGCACTCGCAGAAAGGCCCGTAGATCTTCCCGAATTCGCTCTCGAAGCAGGAGCACTGGCTGCAGCTGCACTCCCCGCGCCCGCTGCACAGGGGCTTGCCCTCTGCTTCCCGGCACAGGTTCTGGTATCCTCTCTGGTTCTCCCCTTCCTGGCACTCGCACCTGGTGCCCAGGTAGCTGGGGTTGCACTCACACAGACCGCAAACGTAAGTCCCGTTCCCACTGCATCTGGGGCTGTCCCGCTCCAGCCCTGCGCTGCAGCCACACTTGCAGTTGTAGGTGACCCTCACCTCCAGGCTGTCCCGGAAGCCCACAGGCCGTAGGGTGAACATTTGCTCTGTGTGTTTGCCCGGGCAGCTCCATGCCTCCACCGATACCTCAAAGGACGCCTGGGCAGAAAGAAGAGAGGGGGTCATTGTGGGCACAGTGAGACACGGTATCTGCACTGGCCCCCCAATCACCCAGCCCTGTCCACACGCGCAGGGCCCCAGAAGGAAGAGGCCACAGGTCAGCAACCTCCCTCGTTTTATCGAGGAAGAGATTATTCAGGCATGCCAGCATTTGACACGCACTGCGCTTGGTTCTTGAATGTTCATTGTCTCTGTTAATCCCCACAACCTTGAGGAAATGGGATTCCATAGAAAGGTAGAAAGACGCTCTCAAGGGTACACAGTTCTTGTTCTTCTCTTTCTTTTCGCCTCTATTCCACTTCCTCCCCATCTGCACTGTGAAACTCATTCAATCAACAAATACTCCCTGGGTACTTCCTCTGTGCCAGGCACTGTGTCAGGTGCTTCCTGAGCTCACGGGCACCAGGGCCCACAGGCATCGCTGAGAAAGGCTTCCTCCCAGACAGAGAAGGGACAATAGGACACCTGGGTCCCTCCCAGTGTACCTCACAGACATACCTAAAAGGACCTGAATGGTCCTCACAGCTGCATCTTTCATAATCAGCCTATGGCCCTGAGGTCATAAAGAGTCATCAGTGATCAAATGTGCAACACACGTGGACAGGCTTTTTCTTTTTAAAATAAAGCATGTAAAGAAGCATTGCGAATTCCTGAGCTCCTTGTGGTTTGCCTTGGAAACGGGCAGCAAGGTGGGCCAAGCTGGCAGATGGCAGGAAAGATGCCTGCTACCTGCCCACTCGGCTGCAACGTGAGGAAAGCAGGGCACGGCTCAGTGGGACTCTCCCAGGAAGTAGAGCGCGACTCCCCCACCTCCAGTCCTCCCACTGAGAAAGAATCCCCGTGTGGTCAGAATCACCCCGCACTGCCCTCAGAGCGGAGCCCTGTGGGAATCCAGACGGAGCTGGCATGCCCTGACCAAACGCTGCCCCTCAGTGCCCCTCCCCTGACGGGTGCTGCTCCTGCCCTTAACGGCGGTGGTCCCTACACAGACAGAGGCCTGGGCCCACTCCAGAAACTGACTCACCCCATCTGGCCCAGAGGTCTTAATGTTTCAGGTCTCCTCCGATCATTCTAAAGCTCAAAATGGGTTAGGAATCACCTTTAGCTATTGTTATGTTTACTCTATTATTTGGGCTGGAATAGAGCTGAGTTTAAAACTCATCAAGAATTTGGTTATGGGACACTCTTCAGGTAATGATGTGCACTTCTGGAGAACAACGAAAACAGTTTTTTCCTGAAAGTTCTACAGACCCTTATCACTTTGGGATCATTACTAATTCTAAAAAGCCTCCCTTCAGATTCTGTGATACCTAGGGATACCCCAGGGTGGGGGTGGGAGAGACTGAAGAGGAAGACAGACCCAGCTCTCTAGGTCCTGGAGACAGTCACGCTTGGTTGGAAGCCGCAGCTTCAGGGAGCTCGACAACACATGCTCAGGGGTCGGCATTAGCCAAAGGGCGTCACAGGGGATGCTGCTGAACAGGGAGCTGAGGACAATGACCAGGAGCCAGGGTCAGAGGACACTGGGAAAACCAAGCCAGCCACAGACAGCTGGGACTGGCCCACCCCTACCCTCCATGTCTATGGGGGGAGGGGCGGGGGGAGGAGATAAAAAAAGAGATTGACAAAGCAAGTTCAGGACTAGGCTCCAAGGCCCTGAGGTACAGGTGGGCACTTGAGGTAAGAAACACAGGGGCACTGAAATGTGCCTAGTGACAACACACACTAACAGTTACCAGGTGCCAAGCACCTGCCTGTGCCTGGCACTGTGCAAGCATTTTCATGAAGATTTCATTTGCATGCCCTGAGGGAGGCATCCTCATTCACCAGAGAGAACACGGAGTGGGCGAGCTTGGTGCTGGCCTCACGGCTGGTGAGGGGGTGGGCTGGTGCTGTCGCTGGCACGCTGCCTCCTGGAAGTGGGGAATGAGGCAGACGCCCAGCGTCCAAATCTGCGTAGAGGGAGAAGCAGCTCGGCTCGCGGCGGGGACTAGATGGTGACCCCCAAGAGCCAGAGGCTCCTCCACATCTTTCTGCCTTTGCTCAGGACGACCTAGAGCTGCAGAGGAGAGGGAGGGGAGACTGCACCTGACCAGAGCCACCCACAAAACATGGAGAATGCAGGGAACATCACAGTCCTCTGAAGCTCAGTGGCCCGGGGCCTACTTCCCAGGGCTACCACTTTGCTGCACTTGTTAATTGAAAAGCCCTTGCCCGGAAAGGCATCTGTGGGGCAGAACTGAAATAAACTACAAAGGAATAACCTGGAGGGAGGGCCAGAAGCATTTAACTATTGAAACACTGCGAGGGAAGTGTCCATCTCTGAACACAACCTTCCCCCGGGGGAATCTGCCCTGGTTGCGGGACAAAGTAACAAAAGAGAGAATGAAATCTAGTCTTGCTGCTGTGTCTGTGGTTGCTGGGAGTAAATGAAGAGGTTGGGGAGCCCCTGAATCAGTGCTGGCAGCTGATCACCCAGGATTTAGAACAGCTCACACCCTGTCTGCGTGGCCGGGGGAGCAATGAGGACCTGGCTCGTAAGCAGGTCCAATAGCCTTCCTCAGTCCTAGCATGTCGGGGGCCACCAGTGATCACAGAGGGGGCTCTGTCTATTTCAGCCCCGGGGTCTCAAGTCCCGCCGGAAGGGGTGCGCTATAAAAAGCACTTCAGGAACAGCAATTAAATCTGTCCAGCGACCCTTCCTTTCAGTGTCCATTTCCCTAAGGGATCAGGAAAGAATCTGGAGAGTCTGACAGGCCTCTGGAAAGAGGCTTCTCTTCCCTGATTACTCTGGCCTCCAACTGATACGGAAGGCCCCCCAGATCGTGGAGACTTGCCATCCTCCCACTCTGAGCCGGCAGAGGAAGGTCCGGGACGGAGCAGCCCTCCCTCCTGCCCAGCCGTGGCATTTCAGCCTCATTGGGATGCTCCCGGTTCCCCAGCAGGGCTGCTGGTCTGACCCACCCTTTCAGACAGGCCCACCAGCCCCCATCCTAAACCCACCAAACCCAGAGCTGTGCAGATGCCAAGTCCACTAGGAGCACATTGAAACAAAGCCCCAGAGGAGGGGGACAGGAACGGGACACCATGGGAAGCCCGTGACGGGCTCACTGGGCCCTTTGTACTGGGCGTGAGTGCTCGCCACACAGCCAGCCGCTTGCATACTGATTTGTCAAAGCCGGTCCATGAGAAAACCGACTCCAGGGCCTGGGCCACTCACTCCTGGTTGGTGTTGGGATGAGGGGAGGAAAATCAGGGAAACATCTGAAATCGATGGAGAAGAGAACCCCACTGGATTTGGGCCTTTCAAGGCTTCATTTCTCTAACATTTCTCTTTGAGGACAAACCTGGCCCTCGTCCCCTGCCACCTCTCCTGCTCTTGCCTGGATAAGATCTCTTAGCCCAGAGAACAGAGTCACAAAACCAGGATCTCTGACTAGAAGTGATCACAGATCTCTGCCTGCCCACCCCACCCCTGCAGGAAGCTTCAGTTGTGAGGTGAGACCACCTAGCTGCCACTTTAACCCAGCTGTCCCAAGGCTGCCCCACACATGTCCATACACCAGACCCTGAGACAGCAGATGACAGTTACTCCCTGTCTCCCAGGGCCCTCCCCCTGGCCATTCCCTGACTTGTCCAAGGCCCTCCCAACCTGTGGCTCTGAAGAATGGAACCCACCTGCCAAGTAACAGCCAGCCACCTTAGCTTTGCACATGTGTCCTACCAGCATGGCCCAAGCCTACCTCTGCAGCCCTAGCTCCAGCCACCTGCCCCTGTCCCCAACCCACTGTCCTAAGCAGCTTTGTAATTATAAAAAAAACAATGTTCCTTCACACCTCGAAGACTCACCTGTGATCTGCACATGCTCCGCCCACTAATGGGACCTGCCCGCCTTCCCTTTCCATGCCTGGAAAATTCTTTCTCATGCTCCAAGCCTCAGCTCCAACAGTACCCCTCTGCGATGTGGGGCCCCTCATTCTGTGGGGCTCCCATAGTAACATGCTCAGCTTTTATGGCCATACCCATCCGCCTCCATAGGGTTAACTTCTTTGCATGTGTATTTCCTCCACCAGATCTGTATTTGGGACAAATATCAAGAGGGAAATGCTCACATGCTCAGTAGCAAGCCTGCTTTGTCAAAGCCCAACTGTAAACTCTCTGGAGGACAATTCCGTTTGTGAGGAGGAACAGAAAGTTGGACTTCCTGGTTCAGGGTTAAGAAAAGCAGACTGGTCCCCTCTGAACCTGACCCTCTGCTTCAGCAAAAAGAGGGTTGAGAGAAAGCCCCCCAAACCGCCCTCCCAGGACCGGCTCTGTGGGCATGTGCCTGTGCAGCGACTCAGGGCCCCACCTTCAGATGGCCCTGTGCTTAATGTCCTGCTGTTGTCATCCTGAAATTCTTTATCATTTTTGAACAGGAATCCCACATTTTCATTTTGCACCAGGCCCTGCCCCCCACTGCCTCCAGGGCCTGAAAGAGCTTGCCTCCTGTGGCCTCTCGTGGCCTGGCCCGGCCCTAGAGCAGCACCGTGTCTGACAACAGTGGGCAAGTAGCCGCTATCCTGTGCCAACCTGTCTCCACCCACTGAAAACCAAACCCCACCACCCTGGCTGGGAACCTGTGGCCCTGTGACCAGGCCCCTTGGACTGCCAGACAGCACTGAAATGTGGAGAAGAGACAACGAGCGAGCATGGACGCTTGCACGCGGCCACTGCTGTTTCAACAAGGCCACAGACCTCAGATCTCAAGGGAGGCCCCTGGCTGTTGGTGGGGGAGGAGCTGTCTCCTTTTTCTATTATTTCAAATGCTCTACGAATTATGCAAACACATCAGAGATTTTTTACTTTTGTGAAAAAATGCCATTTAAAATCGTTTCCGGTCTTATGGACTACATCTCCCTATCCTAAGGTATCCCATCAAAAAATAAAATCTGTACACTAGCATGTCCGGTGACTTCTGCGAGGCTTCACTCCCAAAGCGCGTGAGGAGTAAGGGAAAAACATGGACTTGAGCATCAGCTGTTTCACATCTGACTCCTGGGGCTAGCAGCTCGCCAGAAGGGGGACTTCTACCAAGAGTCTCAGACACCGCCCCCCTGCCGTCTGGCCCCCCAGAGCCTCAGTCTTTGTCACATAAAACAGGTAATAATATATGTCGAATTTACGCAGCCACTGCAGGAAGCAGAGGTAAATAAAGCCCCTGCTACAGTCTTGGGTGTGTTATAAATTCCCAAGGATGGCGACACACGTTATTCCCTTCACAATAAGGAGGCAGTGACTAGTGACATGACCTGGTCTGGAGTGAAAAGACCTTGGTTCGCATTGCAAGTCCACTGCTTGCAAGCTGGGTGATCTTGGGCAGGTCACCACACGGCAGCAGTGAGTACAGTGCCCCTTCCCCACCTGAGTCGCAGGTGTGTGGGAGGCACATAAAGGCAATGGATAAACTGCGCTCCCTGAGCGGAGGCCTAGTTCTTTGTTACCATCCTTTGCTCTGAGACAAGCCCTTTGAAATAGGTAAGACAGCAGAATCATGGGCACCAAGAGGCCAGGTAAAGGGGGGCTGGCATCAGAACCAGAAAGCCCCACCTTTGAACTCTCATATTTTGCTACTTACTAGCAGGGGAGGCTTGGCAATTAATTAAATTCTCTGTGCCTCGGTTTTTCTCATCTACCACATGAATAACATCTCCCTCACAAGGAACTAGAGGAGACTGTAGAGCTAAGTCATTGTCAAGTGGGTTTCTTGTGCTTCCCAAAACTAACTGCATTTTCCCCTTGGGTTCATTAGGGACCCCAGCATTCCTCTAATGATTTTCCCTTTTGTGCTTAAGGTGGCATGAATTGGTTTCAGTTTCCTGCATCCAAAAAGAATTCGGATTGCATGCCATTATCATCAACAGACACCAGCTCCTTTGACCTTCCTGGTTTCTAGGCAATTCATCATGATCATTTACTTGTCACTGCCCTTTTAAAAAAAGAACTGAACATAGAACTCCAGATGCAGTCTGACCCACACCAAGAAGAGGGGAGCCATTATCTATGGGGTTTCAAAATACTTCCTTTAATGCAGCTTCAATTGGCTTTACTTTAAAAAAAAAAACACGCTTTATTCACATTGAGCCTTTGAAAATTAGAATTTGCTAGATCCTCTTCTTAAAAACTACTATCAAGTTCCCTCTACCCTACTAATATTATCAATGAAATACAAGACATTAATCCTGATGATTTCAACCCAGCTTAATTTTGAAAAATATTTTAAATCTTGGTTTTCTTATTTATAAGGTAATTTATTTTCTCCAGCTCTGTGATCTTCCTGTATTGGACAAGCGGGTCTCCAATAGTTCAAACCAGTAGTAAACACAGATAGACAAGAGATGCATGGGGCCTCAGGCAAGTCCTTCTTCCAGTTGATATTATCAACACTCTTAGAAAGCGTGTTCACTCACCTACAAATCTGCCTAACTGTGCTGTTATCAACTCACATCATGTGTCTTAGCCGTAAGGATGTGATTAGTAATTGTTAAGAGCCTTCCTGAACCCAGGTGTCCTGTGTGTGTGCTGCATAAGTTCTTTCTTCCTCTGTTCCACTGGACCTAGTTCTCCAACTAAACGGTTCCTGGGCTGCATGTTTTTCACACTTCATTCTTCAGCTTTCCTGACACACTGCACCAAATATTCTATCCACAGATCTACAGAACTAGCTTACATGTTTTCGGGGTTGTTTTTTTTTTTTCTTTTTGTTATTTCTTCTTCTTTCCAGTTTTCATAACCATCTCTTTAAACCTGTGACTATGAGGCTCTTGTAGTTTTTTTTAATCATCTAGATTAATTACTAACTTATCAAAACACAAACATACTGCAAAATTTGACATCTTAAAAACAAAATTTTATTGGAAGTTCCTCTTTGACATAAGGTTTTCCCTGCCCCAATATATCATGTATATGTGAAATAATATTACTTCTAAATAAGATAAAGAGATCAGCACCAATTCTATTCTTATTTTTTATTTATACTGGTTATTCACATAAATAGGAAGATGGGAACAGAAGGAGTTTTGTTACAGCAACATAGTCCTATTCCATGAATGCCTTCAAGTCAATGCCGTAGGTAATCATTTTAAATGATATATCATCTGACAACTTGATTAGGCCTTACACTTTTTTTTTTTTTTTTAAGCAAAGGCACTTGACAAAAACCTATCTTAGAAAAATATTTGTTACCCTGTCATTAGAATCCTTCATTTTCTCAACACTGACACCACTGTTTTGAATTGTCCCTTTGCAGGGCAAGGCCCACATATATTCAGAGTGTGTGAGAGGTACGCCTGTGTGCTGAAAAGCGGACGAAGGGCAGTTCTGAAAGGGAAGGAAGGAGAGGATCAGTTCTGGAGCATGAGAAAACCCCAGAAACCTGAGGTGTGACCAGCTCCACAACTGTGCCTCCCTCCTTTTGAGAGGTTTCCCTGAAGCCCCTCTGCCTGTCTGAGGCCAGCGTTCCACCTGTCTGTGCATCACCTCCCCCCGACCCCTCGCAGGTCCTCGGTTGGGTGCACAGGCGCACATCTTTACACACAATGCTTCTTTCCCATCATTTAATTATATCCACTTAGTCCACACAAGGCATCCATGCCCTCTGCTGCTGTAAAGTTATCCATCCCATTTCACCAAAAAGAAGATGTGAATGGATTTCTTCATGTTTTACAGAGGGAAAGAGGGAGGGTCAGAGTATCCAAGACACAGAGCAAGCTGTAGGAGACTAGAAATGAGACCAGGCCTCCTGTCTTCCCTGCCCATATTCTGCCACCTAATTTCATCCCTGTCTAGTGAAGATAATAACCATGTAAACACCCAGGGCACAATGCAACCTGAGGAAGACTTAGAGGGCAATGTACTGAGGTCTGTCTACTGACTGGGGCTTTTTAACAAGTCCATCTGCCACCTTGAAAGCACAACACAGAGCAGGCTTCGGGAAGTCCCCTAGGCGGCTGACATGGAAGACAGAATAAAAACTACTAAAGGACTCTAATAAGTTACAAAAGTCATCAGAAGGCAAAGAATGATGGCCAGTGCTAATGTGTGTCATATAAACAGAGACGGGGTGAGGGCTTACCGTGTCCCCGATCTTCAGGCCCTCACACTTCCTCTGATCAGGGTAGGATACACCATCCTGGCAGGTGGCAGTGAAGAAGAGGTTAAGGTCTTCGGGCTGATCCCAGACTGACAGCTCCACCTTAGATCGGATGCTCTGAACAGAGAAAGAAGAGGCCCAAAACATTTAGCGAAGTCTGCTGCCAAGATGCCCTCCACAGTGGTTCTCTGATGCCCATGTGGCTTCCTCTTGCATGGGAGTCTCAAGCCAAAGCAATCCCTTTCCTTCTCTCCACACCCACACACTCATCTTGCTAACTGGCCTGAGGTCTCCCTCTGGGAGCCTGGAGATGTTGATAATGATTCACCTGCGATATGATATTATTATCTGCCTCTCCAGTCACCTCTCATTCTACCCTAAGTTTCAGACATGCAGCTCCTCAAATGTTGCCCTGTGCTCTCCAGACTTTGGTCCTTTAAACATGGAATAGTGTCCCTTTGCTCAATGACTCTTCACTCCTCTCTTCTCTGGCCAGCTCCTTACCATCCTGCACAATGAGTCGAGCAGGAACTTGCTCCAGGAGTCCACCCTATTGCTCTTCACGTCCACACCCATCCCCCATCAGATGAGATCCGCCTGCATAAGGCTGAAGTACACTGTCACAGAATAACATCCTTTGTGTGGATTATGTTCTCAAGACTGAATGAAATGAAAATCAAGCCAAAATTTCCCATGAGGATAGGAAGAAAAAAAGACAAAAAGACTGAAAACATCAGTGTCAGAAAAGATGTGGAGCAACTGAGGCCCTCATACTCTGCTGGTGGAACTGTAAATGGTACAACCCTTGAGAAAAGCATTCCGCTAAAGCTTAGGTCAACTGGAAACCTATCAGTCCACCCATGGATCATACTCAACAGAGATGTGTACTAACCAGAAGACATGAACAAGAATGCTTACAGCAACATTGTCTATAGCTATCCAAATGCCTAACAATAATAGAACAGATTTTATTTTTAAACTGTGGTTTGTTCACAGAATACCACACAGTAATGAGAATGAATGAAATGTGACATGTCACAATATAGATGAATCTCCTAAATACAACAATGCCTGAAAGAAGCCAGACACAAAAGAGATATCTACTACGTGATTCTATTTATATGAAATTCAAAACAGGCAAAAATAATGTTTCCCCTTAGGGACAGTAATGGAGGAGGGCACGATAAGGACTACTAGATGCAACTAACATTACCTAGGCGCGGGCCACTCAGGTGTATTTAATTTATGAAAAGTCTGAACAATTTTCTGTGTCTGTTGGTTTAAAAAACTGCCATTGAAAATCTCTATGCAGGACGTATCTTGGAGACTGACACCAAATAAAGAAACTGGCTTATATTTTGCAGGCATATCTTACCCCCACCGAGTATTTTTTGTACAGTTAGTACACTCAAGCATGGCAGGACGTATGCACTTTAAGAGACTTGTGGACACATGGAACCCAAGTCAACTGAGGGGCCATCTGACTTCCTGGGTGCGCTGCACGGAACATGGCATTGAACACAATAGCAGGTATAATTGCCTCTCGCTCTCACACTATTTTTTCTTTTCTTGCTGAGCATGTACTGTTAAACTTGTATAAGTCAAATATGCAGTTTTCCTAACAAATTAACAGCTGGTAAAAATATTCTCTGAGAAAAAGTCTCTCCCTTTGTAACAAATTGTGTAAGTGCTTCTACAACTCTAAAAATACTCTCCCTCTTAAACCCACTTCCTCTGGTAAGTGCCAGCCTCAATTGGCAAAAGGTTGCTAGCGCACCACTCCACACACAAAGCCCTCTCCTGCTGGATGTGATTAGCTATTTACAAATCCGTTTCCCCCACTGAGCTGTGAATTCCAAGGACCATATTAAATTTCTCTCTAGGATCGAGCACAAGCTGTTGTTGAATGGATGGCAGGATGGATGGTTTAACAGCAGCTACACAAAGGAGCTCAGGTCTGGTGGAAGAAACTTAAAGTTATTTTTGAAAGAACAAATAATTTTTAAACATTTGTAATCGTGAACAAATATGACGATGAGGCAAAACTGCATGTCATGTAAGGGCTAGGTGGACTGGAGCTCTGTAAAAAGTTAGAGAAGAGTCATATGAAATATGGGTTTTGTGGTTCACAAACAGAGTCATGAAGATCCTGAAGTTCATTAACCTGGATGCATTAATGGAGAATTTGGCAGAGGGGGAAAAAGCACCGGGCACTGGGACTCCCATTCTATGAGTCAGCAACTATAATGGATGGGAACTGAATTCTATGTTCTACTCTGACCATAAGCCCCCCAAAGCCTTGTGTTTTGATGTGATATTTGTATTATTCCTGCTCTCCACACATTCTCTTAAAATCAGAAACTCTCAAGATGTTAGAGACATAGGAATCATGGAGGTTGTTTGGTTCAAACCTCTCACTTTATGGAAATGGAAAGCCAAAGAAAAGGCCTCCGCCAAGGTCATCATCAGCTGAAGCCAAAGAAAAGAACTCACCCAGGGTCACTCAGCTGCCAGAGGCAGGCAGGACCGGGACGGGGACGGGGACCAGGCCTTCCAATTCCCCCACAGCGCTCCCTGTGGTCACTACACCCAGTGCTTCTTTCTTGGAACACTGGCTCTGACGTGAAAGAGTGTGGACGGCCAGGTTATAATCTGCTTGTGAGGGTCAGTCTCCCTAAAAGACGACAAGATCCCAAAGGGCAGCTCTGTTCACTGTTTCATTCCCAAGGTCTAGCATGATGCCTGCCACAGCCATTGGTATATATTTGCTGAATGAATGAGTGAATGAGCAAATGAATGAAAGAAAAACAAGATACCGCGAAGCCACTGGCGATGCAGTTATTTTGCATGAGGTCTTATGTGTGACTCCTGAAAGTCAGTAAAATCCTACCAGTTTCGCCCCTGAAGGATGATTCCTTGCTCCTCATCCTAGGACAAGGAGACAATGTCAAGAATGTCAGAAGTTTGGAGGCTATTAATTACTCAGTCAGGTTAGGTCACATCTGCAATTGCTTTAAGTCAGGCAGCTGTGATGTGGGTGGAAGCAGACTTTATGGCAACAACGAAAAGAGAAACATGTGCTCAGTGAGGAGAAACATACACCATGGCCTCTGATGTCACCCTCCACATGCCACTCTAGCGGTTTCCAGCTCACTCTGCTCTTTCCCACTCTGGAGAGAGGCCGCGGTGATTGTTCCCTGAGCCCTACCTCCCCTTTCGTTAGTGAGACGTAATGCTGGTGTTGTGGGTGTGCAGCCAGGCCCTGCCTTCTCTCCCCAGTGCTAGAAGAGACCCTGTCACCAGCACCAACTACACAGCAAGGCTCCACATTGCTCAATGCCCTCAGGAGGATTTGGTGATTTCCTACAATGGAGAATTTGGCACCGCAAGAATATATTTATAAATCAAAGCCCAGAGTTGAAGATTTCTCACTATGAAAGTTGCATATGACAGACTCAATTCTGCAAGACATTAAATTAAGCGTACCCTTTCCATTATGCTCCATCTTAAGCTGAGCTAAATACCACAGCTAGCTATTTCATCTGTTACAGATGTTCCAACTAAAATCTTTTCAGAAGGTCCCCACAGATGGTTTGCCAGCAACTCTTGGGGGAAGGAAAAAGTCAACACCCATACTGAGTCATGTTGCATGACTCATTTGAAACCCAACACAAACCGCTGAGGTGGTAAGGTGACACAGAGAAATGCAAACAGTCTGGTTAAAGCTGTGCTTGTACCCTGGCCAGGGAAAGGGCAGGAGAAAGGATAATTGGAGCTAACTGGAATCTCTAACGCAGGCAAAAGCTCACACCACACCCACGCTCACAGGCCCACACATTACATACCCACCACACACAGACCCACAAAACACCCCTACAATGTACACCACACTACACACTCCTACATCCTTACCATGCACACACAACCACACACACACTATAGACTACACACACCACACCAGAGGCCAGTGCCAGGCTCAAATCCAGGAGACATGCTAAGGACTGAAGTCCAGCCTGGGCCTTCCCCTTTGCCAGAAATGCTGGCAACCAGTGAAACAGATACTAATCAATGTCAAGCACCAACTTACCCTCAACACCAACAGCTTCCACCAACTAGGCTTTGCTCCAAATACCTTGAGATTTCACATTTCTTTATTTAATATATTACTTGAAAATTTCCATGTCCAGCCATACACTTCCAGCCAAGATGGAACTGTAGGCAGATGCACTTTGCCTCCTCGCACAACCAAAAGACAGGCAACAACAAATTTAAAAACAAAAAATAACCAGAACTGCCAGAAAATCGGAGTGTATGGAAGTCCAACAACCAAGGAACTAAAGAACAAACATTCACATCCAGACCGGTAGGAGGGGTGGAGACAGGCAGCCGGGGTGGAGAGGTGGGGGTGGAGAGGTGGAGACGGGTGGAGAGGTGGAGACGGGTGGAGAGGTGGAGACGGGTGGAGAGGTGGAGACGGGTGGAAAGGAGCCTGTCAAAGCAGCAACTGGAGGACTGGGCTATCTCACATTTGCATGTGGATAAACTGGGAGGAACAGCTGGGGAGCGAGACAGACCGCACAATCCAGGGTTCCAGTGCAGGAAAAGATAACCTCAAAACCTCTGGCTATAAAAACCTGTGGGGGATGTGGCAGAGGGAGAAACTCCCAGCTTCATAGGAGAGTCCATTGGAGAGATTCAGAGGGTCCTAGAATGTACACAAACCCACCCACCTGGGACTCAGCACTAGAAGGGTCCAATTTGCTTGTGGGTAGTGGAGGAAATGACTCAAAGCCAGCCAAGAGCCGAGTAAGTGGCACTGTTCCTTCTCGGACCGCTCCCTGACACACGGTGTCACAACACAAGGACCAAGGTTGCCCGGCCCTGGCAAATATCTAAGGCTCTGCCCCTCCCAATGTAACAGGCGCACTGAGACAAAGATATATGGCCTAAATAAAAGAACTGATCAGAGCTCTAAAAATAGAACTAAGCGATGAACAGATAGCCAACCTATTAGGTGCAAAGTTCAAAACACTGGTAATCAGGATGCTCACAGAAATGGTTGAGCATAGTCACAAAATGGAAGAACAACTGCAGGCTATGCGAAGTGAAACAGAAAAATATACAGGGAACCAACACTAAAGGGAAGGAAACCGGGACTCAAATCAACGATTTGGAGCAGAAGGAAAAGGTAAACATTCAACCAGAACAGAATGAAGAAACACGAATTCAAAAAAATGAGGAAAGGCTTAGGAACCTCTGGGACAACTTTAAACATTCCAACATCCAAATCATAAGGGTGCCAGAAGGAGAAGAGGAAGAGCAAGAAATTGAAAACTTATTTGAAAAAATAATGAAGGAGAACTTCCCCAATCTGGTGAAGAGAACTGACATACAAGTCAGGAAGCTCAGAGAGTCCCAAAGAAGTTGGACCCAAGGAAGCACACACCAAAGCACATCATAATTACATTACATGGGATTAAAGATAAGGAGAGAATCTTAAAAGCAGCGAGAGAACAGGAGACAGTTACCTACAAAGGAGTTCCCATAAGGCTATCAGCTGATTTCTCAAAAGAAGTCTTGCAGGCAAGAAGGGGCTGGCAAGAAATATTGGAAGTCATGAAAGACAAGGACCTACATCCAAGATTGCTCTATCCAGCAAAGCTGTCATTTAGAATAGAAGGGCAGATAAAGTGCTTCCCAGATAAAGTCAAGTTAAAGGAGTTCATCATGACTGAGATCTTATTATATGAAATGTTAAAGGGACTTATCTAAGAAAAAGAAGATGATCAAAAACTATGAACAGTAAAATGACAACAAAGTCACAACTACCAACAACTGAACCTAAAAAACAAAAACAAAAACAGTAACAAACTAAGCCAACAACTAGAACAGGAAAAGACTCATAGAAATGGAGATCAGAGCTGGGAGGGGGAGGAGAAGAATGGGGGAAAAGATACAGGATATAAGCAGCATAAATAGTAGGTACAAAATAGTCAGGGGGAGTTTAAGAATAGTATAGGAAATGGAGAAGCCAAAGAACTTATACGTATGACCCATAGACATGAACTAAGGGCGGGTGGTTGGGGGGTGGAGTGGGTAATGTTGGGGGGCGGGGCGGGAGGGGGCAGTGGAGGGAAATAAAGGGGGGGAAAAAATGGGACAACTGTAATAGCATAATCAATAAAATATATATTAAAAAAAAAACAAAAAATAAAATTAAATTTCCACTGAAGGGGGCGGTGAAGTAGGCAAATACCAGAGATCCCACCTTTTTTGGAGTGATGGATATGTTCAATATCTTGATGGTGGTGATAGTTTTGCAGGTATGTATGTGTATCAGAACTTAAATCGTACACTTTACATCTGCACAGTTTATTATGTTAATTGCCTTCCAATAAAGCTATTTTAAAATTTTCCAATGAATTTAAACATAGTTGATAGTATTCCAGAATTGCCCACTTTTAAAAAGTTGAGTTTCATATGTTCCTTCGTAAGTTGTATGTCCCATTTCCTATCGTGTTCTCTTATAGGAGCCAGTTTAACTCAGAGTCAAGTTGCAGTGCTAGATTCCCACAATTCCTCAGGGGATCATGCCAGGCTGCAAATGCAGCACATCCTGCCCGACTCCTCAGCAGCAGAGAGGTCTCCCCATTCCTCTCCTGACCTTTGCTGACCACACAGAGCATGTTTCCTTAAAGAAAACAAATTTAGTTATCATGAATCCTGCTCAGAGCCAAGGCAATGTACCTCAGAGAAAGACCACCACTAAGCATTTGAGAGTCCCACCCAGGGAACCAACACCACCTCACGCTCCCCAGTGTTTAGCAGCCCTACACACAAGTGTGGACATGCAGAGCCACTTAGCCCTACAACACAACCTGAGTAGAATGCTTTTCCATTTCTGGCGAACACGACCCAGCCAGTTTTGTGGAACCGAGTGACACTGTGCCCTACTTTATTAAAGCTGAGAGAAGCAGAGCCTATGCCTTCATCAGGAAATGCTCCTGGGAAAGGCCTAGGAGTCTGTCATCCACACACAGGCGTCTGGACTCAGGAACTGAGGGTAGAAATGCTGGAAGGTGGCTCCTCCCCAGGAGCTCGGGAGAACATCCTCACTCCACCCAGAGCCTGAGACATGGTTGCTCTTCAGCCATTTCTCCCTCAAGGGCCCTGGCTCAGCAGAGGCAAGCTGCAGTCACCCTGCCAGTGAGAGCAGGTCCAGTCGGACCCCACCACCCCGCCCCCGGCCCCAAGCCAGGCCCCAGGACCCCCAGGGGATGGGGAGCACAACCCAGGCTGGGGTTCTGGCTCTCACTTTGACTTTAGTTCAGTGTCCAGAGCTTGTGTCCAAGAGGTTCATGGGGATGCATGGCCCTCAGAAGCAGGGCAACACTCAGCAGGCCGAGCCCCTCCCTTGCACACATGCTGTCTTCTCAAACAATTTCTCAGTATGTTACATTTCCACTCTCTGTGGAAATCTGAAAATCACTAAGTATAAAGGTAACTGGAAACCCTACCTTACTGGGTTCTGGGTGGCCAATGGTTTAGGCAAAGATTTAGAGGTCAGAGATTAGAAAAGGGGATGTTAGTTAGCAGGGAGTGGGGTAGGAGAGGAGAAAGAAGTCTTTAGTTTCTCTTAGTAGGGAGTTTGGGATCCTGGAGGAATCAAAGAACTCGTGAAGAGGACCCTTAACTGTAACAGAAGGTGGGGGAAGGAGGAAAAACTAACCACGAATCCTCAGTGACCCCCAATTCACACCAAGGCTCCAGGAGACCAAGGGAGGGTGAGCCACCCGAGCTCCAGGGCTCCTCCCGCGGCCCGAGGGCCTTACCTACAGCTCCTGGTCTAGCTGAGCAATATTCAGTCACTAAAAAAGGGCCCCTAGATGCCATAGTGGTTAATCGGGTTCCCAGGATGGCCAACAGAAGAATATTTTACACGAGTTTAGGACGAATACTGTTACTTCAATTATACTTACTCTACGTATAACTTTGTTTTAACAGGAAGCTACGCTGTGAATTCTGTGTGGGAGTTACCTGGCCCTATGAAGGGCAAGCTGGGCCCTGGAGGCTACAACCATCCTGGGGCCAGACAGGGAGAGGACAGCTGAGAGTCCATTCATGCCTCCCGGCACAGGACACTGCGCTTGCCATTCTCCGAAATAAAGCCGGGTCTGAGTCAAATACTTCTAGGGTATTAAGAACTGAGGTAGCCAGTCAGAGAAAGACAAGTGCCATAGGATTTCACTCATACGTGAAATGAACTAACAAGCAAAATAAGAGACAACCTGACAAGATAGAGAGCAGACTGGCAGCTGTCAGAAGTGGGCAGGGAGAGGGTTGGAGGGATTGAGCAAAAAAGAAAAAGGAAGAGAGAAAACTCATAGACTGGCAGGGGGAGGTGGAGAGGGGAGGGGGGGAATAAATGGTGATGGACAGAGACTTGAAGGGCTGGTGAACACACAATATGACATACAGATGATGTGCTGTAGAATTGCGCAGCTGAAACCTATAGAATTTTGTCAACCAGTGTCACCCCAATAAATTCAATAAAAAGAAAAAAATTAAAATTAAAAATTTTATGGCGACATGTGTGGGTCAGTTACATGACTTTTTATTTCAGATTGACAGCAGTAACTAAATTAAACCATTCAGTATAAAATCTGTCCCCCAAAAGGATATTGATTTCAAATCACATGGTCTCCCATAAAAAATAATAATAAATAAAAGAATTAAGATAAAAGAGAGTAAAAAGGAAAGAGGCTCGGGCATCACAGTCAGCGTGGGGTGTGGAAGTGGCTCCTCGACCACGCCTGTGATCCCGGCACTTGTTACAAAGCAGACAAGGTAACGTGATGGCTTATAACAAACAGCAGGGGATCTCACAGGCCCACTCAGGCTCCCTCTGATGGCACTCGGATCCTAAGTGTGCAGGCAAAAGACCTATTGTTGACTCCTTTTAGTTTTTCTATCCCATTACAGTCTGCTGCTCAATGCTAAGCTCCATGAGCCTGGGGAATTCCAACCATCCTGCCCACACGGTGAGGTGACATCGCTGTGCGTGCTTCTCACATTTCCCTGCAGGGAGCAAAGCGGCAGGATCACCTAGGCAACTGCGTGAGCAGATGGCACCTGTACCCACCCAAGTGAGGTGCTCCGATGGGACCTGGATATCACGCAGTCAGAACCCAAGCATGGGGCAGAAGCCACAGGCCTGAGTCTGACTGAGCAGTCACAGCTCACGGGGGTCAGCCTATGAGAGGCAAGTTGGCAGAAGTGAGGGGGAAGAGATGTATCAAGCAGGATAGCCTTCTCCATCCCGAACCTGAGCAAAGGAGAAAGGCACCAAACTCAAGAGGCAACAGTCAGCAAGCAGAGACAAGCACGCCAATGTGGTGAGCTGCCCACCTGAGTTCAGGTCAGTTCCCAAAGCCTCAGGGGGAGAGGGCGGGGCTGGAGGTGGTGGGGATGGGGGACGAAACTGATGACTTACGTTGTACGCATTGATAATCAGTTGAAGAATATTTTTGGAGTCTCCATGTAAAATCTCCACTGTTGTTCCAGGTATCAGGGCTGTAAAATTCTTGGGGAAAACAAAGAAATAAGAAATAAGCCCATTTGCCCCTCTATACCACCAGAGTGAACCCTGTTCTCTGAACAGGAAAGGGCCCCCCACACTAGTCTGCCACTCTCTCGCACCATAAATTGGAGAGGATGCCACAAGGAAAGGCGAAAAGAACTGGCACAGGGAAACAGCTACTGCAGTAGGCTGCGCCATATCCATTCTTGAAGGTCTAGATCTGTTCCTAAAGGACAACACCGTGCTCCTTCTTGGAGCCCCTGCCCCTCTGGCATGTATTGGAGAGCTCTCTGAATGTCCACCCTCCAAGGTCAACATATTCTACCATACTTCCTGCCATCCCGCCCCTAGTCCACATAGGGATTCCCAGGGTCAGTTCAAGGATGCCCTCAGTTTGTCCAGCAGAAGTAAAAGGGAAGACTTTCCGAGGGGCTCACATACAGCCTCTTTTTCTAACAGGGAACAAAGATGGGAATGGTGACCTCTGGGTGAAGGCCTGCAACAAAGCCGGTGGCCTTGAAGCACCTGCCTTTTCTCTTTCAGTTGTATTAACACCTCTGTATGTCACCTATTACAGTGATGAAAACACCCACCGCCCTCAGTCCACCTTGGACTCCTCCCTGAGCAAGGTACCCTTGGTTCTGAGCAAGGATGGCTTAAGCCAAGGTGGTCTCTTCCCTCCTGTGCATCTGGAAGCACGCTCAGCAGGCTGCACAACTGAACCCTCTAAAAATGTTATTTGTAAATGGATATGTTTTATCCTGCTGATAGTCCAGGAAACAAAACAGAACAAAAAAAACAAAACAAAACAAAAACAATCCTCTTCCCCGTTTTCATCTTCTCAAACTGATTCAGACTAAAAGAAGATAAAGCGCTCAAGAGCACGTCAGTGGCATCAGTGGCATTTTATCAGTAGTAATCTCAGGCAGGAACAGTAGAAAAATATAATTAGACAAAGGCTCTTCGTGGGTATTTAGAGAGGAAAAGAGAAGGGACCGGGGCTGACTGTTCTGGAGGTGGGGATGAAGTTCCCATAACCTCTCATTTCCAAGGATGCCAGGGGTGGGCGGGGCTTTACGCTTAGCTTACATGAGCTCTCCTGGAGCAACTCGGAGGAGTCCTGTTCCACATGGGGCCTGCCTGTGCTCACCGGAAAGCGTGTTCGCAAGAGGAGTTTACAATGAGAGTTCATGGAATGACCCAGAAATAGTCTCTTTTAGACAGAACAGATTCGCACACAGACTTCTCTGTGCACTTGAGACATTATTTTTCTCTGGGAATTCCTGTCCCAGGCTAACCCCCTGGTCTCCTGCACTCTCTGGGCGAGGGAGAAAAACTCTGAATACTGGAATTAGTGCCGTAGGCTGCCTCCATGCCTAAGTTTTCTTTCTGTACATTTTCATTTTACATTGTCCTTCCCCATTAGAGTGTGCCTTGTGTGTTTCCATTACATCATCTGAAAAGTGGGAATTTGTATTTCCAAAATTTAATCGTTCTTAAGATTAAATTAGATACCATGTTTAAATTCCCTGTAAAGGTAAGCACTGCTGGGTGAACTCTTCACTCTTCAACACTATTATTTTCCACTAGATCAAGACAGGGCTATAGTCCACCCCTCCTCCGGCTCTCCCCCCACACACAGCAGGGCTGCTAACGCTCCTCATCCCACATTCTAGTCTCCCATTCACCTGGGGGTCAGCATGGCACCCAGAATCAGCACCCCAGCGTCCCTCACTCCCTCCACATGTACCTTGTAGAGCATATAATGGTTTTTTGTCACTGCAAAGATGAGGTTGATGTTGTTCTCTGCCAACTTCTCTCCAAGCAAGGCAAGGGATGGATAGTCCTAGGGCCAATGGAAAAGTCAAGGCTGTAACATTTCCAACAGGTTGAGATACTACCAGGCTCCAACACGCACTCAGTATCTCATTCACTTGCCATGAACAGCACCTTCCCCCGGCAGCCCCTTAATCACAAAGCTCCATCAGCAGGTTCTACTGAGGAAATATGTAGAGGAGACCCTCCAGAAAAAGGCCTTCTGGCACCTACCATCTACACCCACTCCTCCCACTCCAGAATGGAGAAGTGATAAATGGAGGTGTCCCATACCTAGTCCACGTCTCCGCCCTTTCAGCAGGGATGGGGCAGAGTAGGGAGGCCCCAAAAGGAAGAGCCACCCCATGCTCCCATCTGCTATCAGCACCTATTACTTTTCCTCTGTTCCTTTAGACCTTTCCTCCCAGTCTCCTTGCCCTGTTTTCCTTTTCTTGTCCTATGTCTAATGGTTGGGCCTGCCAATGCCCCCTACATGTCCTGCTGAGTCCTGCTCAGGGCTCGGAAGGAGCAGAAGGGGCTGCTGGCCTCTGGATTAAAAGTCGTGCTGACGCGGGCATGGGATGTAAGCAAGGAGGGAAGGAGGAGGCTGAGAGGAACTTTAACAATGTCCTGAAGGGTTTTAAGGGCAAACAATGGGTACAGGGGTCCCTATCAGTTCTACAGTTCTCAGGTTCTACAGTTATGAGTCCTTTTTCCAGACTCCGTTATTCTTGTATAATATGGAAGGCTTGGGCACTGGCCATCTCTTGAAACTGGAAAAAATGGGCTTGCCCAGCAAAGAATGCCTTTCTAGCCAAACACCAGAATGGATTCAGGAAGGAAAAAAGTATAGATTCATTTTTTTTTTAATTGAATACCAAGTGTGACAAGATCTTGGTAATTGTTGGGTCTAGGTGATGGGAATGTAGGAATGCATTTCACGGGTTTATTGCTCATTTTATATTTTTGAAATTTTACATAAATTCTATTAAATTACACTGTCATGGTGGTAGATCACTGGGAGTGGAGGCCCGTGGGGCTGCCCATCCCACACAGGGTGGCTGTGGCCCCCTTGAGCACTGACATGGCCCAGGGCCTCAGGGCGCCCATGTCCCACAGCCGCAAAGTCTTGTCTTGGCTTGCCTTGCCCTGTGACTTCCATCCCTGTTTTGATCTCTGAAGGAGCACAGTGCTCCCTTCTGTAAGATCACCTCTCCCCTTCAGGATTTTTCCTGTATCCCAGGTCACCCCTTCCCTTGGTGGAAAACTCCCATTTAGGTGCACAATGGCAGAAAGACGAACCAGGGACAGAAATCCCTCAGCAATGTTCCAAGTTAATGGGGAGTTCTGGAAGCCCAGCTGGAGAAGATGGAATAATGAAACCCAATCCCCAAAATGGCTGGGAAAGTCGGCGAGCAGAGGCCAAATGAAGATTTCAGTACCAGTGAGCCCTTGGACCGTGGGCCGGTCCCAGGGCAGCGCTGGGGTCCCGGCCCTCACCCGCTCACCATCTGGTTGGACGCAATGTACTCGTTGGCCTCGTTCAGGTGGCACTGGCCATCGTGCGGCCGTACCAGGCCCCCCAGTTTTCCGTCGAGTGCGATGTGGGGCACGTCGTCCGTTGTGAAGACCAGCAAGTGCAAGGCATCCTTTCGCCAGCCAATCTTCTCCTGAGGAACAGAGGTTTGATGGTGCAAAGCCTTTCTGGGCACTACCCAAGGCTGCCCAGGGCTTCCGACTAGGCCCTGGCTCATCTCCAAGGGTCATAGTGTGAATGAGGGGCATTCCCCTGTGTACCTGGGGACCCACATAAAACCACTGACAAGGAATCCCACAGAGGTCAGAAAAGACCAGCCCGGGCTCGAGAGCCCTGAATGCATGGGGACAGTTCCCCAGGCTTGCCTCACACAGGCCTATGTGCCTGGGAAGTCCCCTCCAGCCCCTCACACACTCCCCCAGCTCCTTTCAGTTGACAACCAGGGCTGCTTCCCCTTCCAGCCTCTCCTATTATTCCTTCCCCAGAACAGCCTGCATCCCACCCCAACCTCTCACAACACGTGTGGGCTGGGCTGTCTAAGAAGATGGCTAAGTGAATACTTTAGTCCCCAAATTAGACTGAGTTGCTTAGAATTGAGTACTCAAACGATAAACAGACAGATCTGTCTTTATTTATTTATTTTTTTTTTAGATCTGTCTTTAGAGGATGGCAAAACCTGCCATTCATGCTGGCAGGCGTAAACTACTCCCATCATAACTGAACCACTTTGGTGCTTTAGTTCAATCAGATAAGCTCTTTTCTTGCTCTGCCGTCGGAGGCAGAGCTAAATACCAGCTGCTTCACAATGGAAGGACTCTTATGTTTCATATTTAGCCCCTGGGGCCCCAACACTGCACTAGGAGCAGCAAGACCTTGATACAGAGCAACAAAAACAGAGATATGGTTGCTCTCTTATTAACAATGAAAGGACATCCCAAAACACATTGGTAGCAGGGCGAATATATGAAGGATTTAAACACTGTTGGGAGCTGTCAACACAGATACACACTGGATAGTGAAATCAAGACTATTCTTACGGCAGATGAGGGGTTGAGGGTTTCTTCCTTTCTTTCTTATCACCATAATAATGGATAAAACAGCCTTCAAGAGCTGTGATGTTTTCTCACTTGCTCCAAAAGCAGCATGGACTTTTTTTTTTTTTTGTCAAATCACAGAAAGTCAGAGTAACGTGAGGGGCAAAGGGGTTGGAAAAGAGGCCAGCGAGGACAGAAAGTCAGGAGACCTGCTGTGAGGAAGGGACTTAACCTATTAGGGAATCCAGTTCTTTGACTCTCAACACTCATCCAAAGTACAATTACTGACCTGCTATGTGCCAGGCCCCGTGCGATCACTGAGACTAGGCAGAGATTTCTTAGATAAGACAGTTCTTAAGATAAAAAGAAAAAAGTGATGAACTTACAGTCAAATGGGTGTGCTAATGAAGACAAATACAATGTCAAAGGCAACTGGGAGAAAAGGAGCAAAGACTTCCAGGGCACATGAAGCTTAACCTGAGCTGGAAGGGTGAGGAGGACTTTTCAAGAAAGCTGGAAGAAGAAATGAGACAGAAGGCAGGGTGAGGGCGGGCGGCCATTCTAAGTGCTAACAAAGGCCAAATGAGAAGACCAGGTGCATGTGGGGGACTGGAGAAAAAATCTAGACAGACCCTTATAGCAATGAAATGCTAAGTGACAACATAACTAACACAGGGTGTTAGAGGTCTAGACAGCGGTTCCCACTGGTGGCAGGACCAGGGCGGGGGCGGGAAAAGGAAAAGGTCATGAGGAGGGTCTGTCCCACTGGTGGCAGGACCAGGGCGGGGGCAGGAAAAGGAAAAGGTCACGCGGAGGGTCTGTCTGGGTTGCTGGTTTTATTTCTTGACCTGGTATTCCCACCTTGTGAAAACTTACAGATATGTATTCTTATGTAAAGTTTTCTATATATACATTATACTTTGATAAACAGCTTAAAACTTTTAAAGGAGTAAGCAATAATTATAATCCATGAAGTGGGGTGGGGGTGGCGAAATGCACGGGAGATAAAGCATAATCAAGAGAGTATAAACCAGCAAGGTTTTTTGCAGGAAAAATGTGCCTTTCTTATCCAGCAGGGCAAGGCAATAAACACCCTAACAAGTGTATTGAGAGAAAACCAACCTTTAATTTGACAAGGTGTATCGAGAACCTTAAAGAAAATCAGACACCTAAATATATGGACAGAGAGATCACTTCCATGGATTGGAAGAGTTAATGTTGCTGAGAGGTCATTTCTCCACAGATTCATCTATAGACTTTACACAATTACAACTGAAACCTCAGAAGACCTTTCTGAAAAAATGACAGGCTGATTCTAAAGTTTATATGGAAAGGCAAACAACAGAGAGACAGCCAAACAATTTTGAAAAAGAAGACCAAAGTTGGAGGACTCATTATCTAAGGTTGAGACTTATTGTAAAGCTACAGTAATCAGGACAGTGTGGTCCTGACAGGACAGACACACAGGCCAGTGCAACGGGACAGAGAGACCAGAAACAGACCCACACACAGACGGTCAACTCAACAGGAGGCACTGATCAATGAGACATCCAGAAACAAAGAAGTGCTCAACCCACACACCTCACTAAGTATAAAAATTAACCTGAAGTAGATCACAGACCTAGGACTATGAAACTTCTGAAGAAAACCTTTGTGTCTTTTTAGGCAAATATTTCTTAGATAAGACAATTCATTAGATTAAAAAATGGATGAATTGGAAGTCAACAAAATTAGAAACATCTGCTCTTTGGCAGATACCATTAAGAAAATAAAATGACAAGGCAAAGACTGGGAGAAAATATTTACACCAAAACAAACATCTAATAAAGGACTTGTGTCAAAAAATATATAAAATTCTCAGAGGTGAATAATAAGAAAACAAGTAACTGAATTTATTATGACAGAGACTTGGACAGACATTTTACCAAAGAAGAGATATGAATGGAAATAAGCCCCTGTGAGGACCCCCGGCATCATCAGTCACTAAGGAGACCACACTAAAGCCACAGTGAGTGAGCCACTGGGTAGCTCTTCCAACGACCAACCAACCAACCAGCCCTGGCACTACCAAGCGATGGCAAAGATGTGGAACAAATGGAACTCTCATAATTGCCAGTGAGAATACAAAATGAATTCTTATAAAGTCGAATACACACTATCATTCAACCTGGCGACCCCACTCTTTGGTATTTACCCAAGAGAAATGAAAACTCTCTACAAGTACTAGAGTAGCTACTCATAATGACCGAAAACTAGGAACCACCAAAATGCCTGTCATGTGGCGAACAGGTTGTAGTACAATGGGGGTACTACTCAGTAACTAAAGAAACAAACTACTGAGAGACAGGTTGGATGAACCTCAAAAGCATTACGTTAAGTGAAAAATGCCTGACTCAAAAGGCAATTTACTAACTCCATTTATGTAATATTCAGGAAAAGATGAAAAGGTAGAGACATAACATAAATGGGTGGTTGTCAAAGTCTGAGGGTAAAGGGAGGGAGGGAGGGACAACGCGGGTACCAGGAAACTCCGGTGAGGGAGGCGATCTATCTCTTAACTGTGGGGGCAGCTATTAGACTGTACGCCTAAAAAGCGTGAATTTTAGTCTGTAAATTATTGCTCAATAAACCTGACTTAAAAAAAACAACAACCCCTTACCGACTTGGTAATTCTACTTCAGGGAGCTCTGCCAGAAGTATTCTGAAAAATGCACAACAGTATTTTTACTAATAGTGACAAAAAGGAAAAACAGGTGAATATCCTATTATTTAGGAGCAGGTAAGTAAATAGAGATTAACTCTTCTATGGCCATTAAAAACTATGTATAAAACTATGTGTTAACATGTATGATACAAAGTGAAAAATATGGCACTGCAACTGCAAACTACACGAGAAATGAATATCACTTTCTACTAAAAAGACAGTAATACAGACTGAAACAAAATTTACCATAACGGAGTTGGGTTAAGATTATGAACAATCTGTTTTTCTTTTTTCCAAATTGTCTTTAATAAGCAAGCACCAGTTTTACAGGACTGGGCTCTGAATGTTGGCTCTGTCATTTAACTGTTTTGGCCTCCTTTTCTCCCAGGCCAGCTTCTCGGGGGCTAACGGGGACCTAAAGGAGAGCGGTGGTGAGGAGGCAGAAAATGGAGCCTACAGATGAACATGTGAATTTTGTCACTGGCCCTAATTACCTGTGTAGCTTAGACCAAATTATTTAACACCTCAAAAGCATTTTGCTTGTCAGTAAAATAGGAATAATAATACCTAACATTTGTTGATCATCTCCATTATTCCATTTAATCTTTACTGCAACCCTTGTGAAGCAGGTGATATACATACTGCCATCTTGTAGATGAGGAGAGAGACATTAAGTAACTAACCCAAGGGCACTGAACTATTAAGGACCCACAAAGCCAGGTTCAGGTTACTTGTCTCTTACCCACAAAGCGAAATGACCCAATATATAGGGAACGCGGAAGGGTGTGTGTGTGTAATAAATGTGATAATTCATTAAAGTACATGGTAGGCTCTCAACCAGTGACTACCAGAGCCTAAATAAATGCTGGTTGAATCTGAAGGTTAAATCTGAAATGGAAATAGCTCCACAAATGAACAGCGTTGTTGCATAACAATAAATTGTTTTCTCTGAGTGGACCCTCGTTATGTAAGTGATGTTAACAAACTTGGCCCAAAGGCTGGGCTGCAGAGAATGAGTCAGGGCAGGCTTATTTATTCACCCAGGCGTTGGGACTTGGAGATTTTACAAGTGGTGACTCCACAAAGAATTTATATTCAGAATAACTTTCCTACTGTCTGCCTGGTCAGCAGAGCTGTCTGTTTTGAAGTCTTAAGTTTTATATTCCATGTCTGGGGCAGAGGGCAACAGTGGAAAAATTAATTTTTATTTTTTATCAAACAAACAAACAAACAAACAAACAAAAAGAAGTATAGCATGGGGGCCAGAATATGTGAGTTGTGGAGCAGATGAGGCTGAGTTCAAATCTTCGTTCTGCTCTGTCAGACCTTGAGTCAGCCACCTCACTTTATTCAGCCTTTAGTTTTGTCATCTATAATATGGAGGTAATCCTACTT